TGCTTAATCTTTGTTTGCTTCGGTTTCCACATCTGTAAAATGGGCATAATAATAACACCTATTTCACTTGTGAGGATCCAATGGGGTAATATTTGTAAAGCACTTAGCACAATGCCTGGCACATAGTAGGGGCTATATAAATGTCAGCTATAATTATTATTAGACATCCCTTTTTAGCACTGTCCCTCTGTCTTCTACAAGTAAGGCTCCTTTCTTTGATCAAAGAGTGAAAAATAAACAGTCTTCATCCCTCCCTTGGGATTACTTGGCAAGAGACCAGCGGAGGAAAGTACCCCTCTCTTTTGGTTGCCAGGGCCAGGTAACCACCGGAGTCCATTGGAAATGAAGGCCTGCAGGATCAAGGTGAAACAAGAGGCAAGGAAGGTCCAGCTCTCCCTGGGATCCAGCTTTTCTTACTCTTCTTACCTTGAGACCTAATGGGCCAAGAAACTTCAAACTTTAAGCTTCCACAGGGCTAAGTTTTGGTTTAATTGTCCCTTCCTGGTACTCCATCCTCCCCCCTATATATCTAGATCCTATCTTCAGGACAATAAAAGGAGTCACTTATCTCTTTGCTCAACTCCTTCCCCCCCCCCATAGAATGGCAGAATTTTAAGGTTGAAAGGGACCTCATCAATCATCTAGTCTGACCCATAGCAATAAAGGATCTCTTCCACAATCAGGGGTGTTGTGAGGGTCAAATGAGATAAGGGTACCTTGTAAAGCACTTTACAAATCTTAAAGCTATATAAATGACAATTATTAGTATTAGAATTATAATTATTAGCCTCCAGCCTCCAGAATGATGACTTCATTCCCTAAGTTTTCTATTGCACTTTTTCTGAGCTCAAGCAATATCTGTAGAGAAATACAGAATGTGCTAGTAAAATGTTTAACATCAAGGCTTGAGACAAACAAACAAACAAACAAACAAAACAACAACCAAACCCAAACCCAGTGTGCACACACACTTTTCAGTTGAATCTGCACTATTAACACATGCTTAAGTCTAGACAATCAACAATAAAATAAAGCCCTGGTTTGTAGTGGATTTCTGAGAAGTAAATGTTTACACTGAAAATTTAACAATCAGCTCTTGCAAGCTGGTTAAAGCTGACTCCAGCACACCACTGCTACCATACACCTGACATGGCTACCAGCTTTTACTTGAAGAATGCCAAGGAGGAGGAACTAACTCCCTGGCAAGGCAACACATCCCACTTTGGGACGGCTCTAATTGGAAGGAAGTTTTTCCTTATTTTAAGCCTAATTTTCCTCTGCAATTTCTGCCCAGGGTTCCTAGTTCTCCCCTCTGGAGCAAATAGAGCAATCTAATCCCTCTTTCATATGGGGTTCTCTCAAGTACTTGTAGACAGAACTGCAAGTCCAGGGAAAGACACAGGGACATAAGGCATGAGAGGAGAAAAAGGGAAAAGAGAAGCCAAGGGAACTACTGCCGGGGAAGGAAGAAAAGATCTCTAGATCTCTCTGGTCCCACAGCCCCAGAAGAAGTAGCCATTCCCTCATTTCCACCTTGGTATAGTAAAAAGGATGGACTTCATGCTTTGGGCTCTGACGTGGACTAGAAAACCTCTAAATCCCTTTAATGCTGAGATTTGATGATTTCATTAAAGAATATGAGACCTGAGGGGCAGTGAGGTGGCGCAGTGGATAGAGCACTGGCCCTGGAGTCAGGAGGAACTGAGTTCAAATCTGAGCTCAGACACTTGATACTGGCTAGCTGTGTGACCCTGGGCAAGTCACTTAACCCTATTGCCTGGGGGGGGGGAGTGGGGGGGACATGAGACCTAGGTCCCACTAGGTCAACGAATAGGAGTACTAAGTGTAGATGGAAGGAAACAAAGCTAGATAGTCTCAAGCCTAGCTCATGCCCAATTCCTGGTCTCATTTATGTCCCTAGAGCTTTTAAAGTAGGGCTCAGGGGATCTCTTTCCCCCAGATCAGTTTTTTTTTTCTTGAACACACTATATTGCCTCATGAGAATCAAGGGTACTCCTTATGTTCCTAGAAGGGAGTTAATTAGAGAATTTAAGGGTGTAGTCATTCTGGCCCCCACTTCCTCAAGGCCAGGTGTGTTAGATTTTACGCCATCCCTAGGTCCATTTCTCAACCCAGACAAGCCCAGATTATATGTGATCATAGAGATCATCTATTACGATAACCCCCTCATTTTACAGATGAGGAAATTGAGGTCCAGGTGGGTTAAGTGATTTGCCCAAAGTCACACAGCTCATAAATGACTGTGTAATTTGAACTCTGGACATTTCAACCCAGCTTTTCTGACTCCAAATTCAGTGTTCTTTCTATCATACCCCCAATGCTACATCTTTGATACCTCATCTCATTCCCTTTCTACCTTATACTGCCAATCTAACTTTACTCCCTTAATGCTTGGCTCTTTTTGCCCTCCTCCCCCAACCTCCATCTCTCTAATTACCCTTATTCTCCCCTCTCTAATTACCCCTGCCTTGTCTCTCCCTCTCCCTCCCTCCCCCCTCCCAGTTTCATTTACCTCCGACTCATCTGGTCTTATTTTTAGCCCATGCATATCTCCCCTTTCCTTTCTTAATATGGCGATGAGCTCTCAGGCCAACTTGGGATCACAGGCTGAGGAGCCCTGGACATTGGTGGGGGGAGGCAATGGAAGTCTGGGCAGGAGGTAACAGGCCCCCCATGGAGTCTTCTTGGCCTCATAGGGAGGGCTCTGCCCCTCCCGTCAGCCACAGAGACATATTTAGATCGGACAAGGTTGGTGGAAGGGACCAGAGACAGGATAGGGTCTGGAGGAGGGGGAGGGGGGTGCAAATTTCAGGGACAGCTCCAGTTCCTTCCCCGCCCCCAGCTTGCTACTCCTCCTCCTGCCCATTTTCCTCTAGGCACTGTCAGCAGTGTCCCCAGGACCAGACTGTGCCCCCTGCCCACTGCTCTGGGCCTCCCCCTCCCCCTAGTGCTCCCTGACTCAGGGCCCAGGGCTCTCCACTCCATTCCCATCCATTTCCCATCCGGACCAAGAAGCCATTTCCAGTTTCCCCCCAGACGGGAGCCGGGTTCAGAAGCAGCAGGATGGGGACTGTGCCATGTCTTTGGTTGCCACTGCTGGTGCTGCTGCTGGGAGCACCCATGCCAGGGGCACAGGGTGAGGAGGGACTGGACTTTCCCGAGTATGATGGTGTGGATCGAGTGGTCAACGTCAATTCCAAGAACTACAAGAATGTGCTCAAAAAGTATGAGGTGCTTGCCCTGCTCTACCATGAGCCCCCTGAAGATGACAAGGCTTCCCAGAGACAATTTGAGATGGAGGAGCTAATCCTGGAGGTGAGGGAGGGTGGCTGGGAGGAAGGATGGAGGAAGGAAGGAGGGAGAGGGAGAAAGAGGGAGGGAGGAATTGAGGGTCCCTTAGAGACCCTCCTCTCCAAAAGTCACCACCCTGGCACCCAGGACCCTCTTCTGCATCTCTGGGCATAGAATGGGCAATAAGCAGGGATGATAACCTTCGGATCCTTGTCTGCTGAGATAGAGGCAAGAGGCAGGGATTTCACCTCTACCACCAGGGGATGAACAGAGCAGGTACTTTGGGGAGTGGGAGCGTCTTTGCCATGAACTCTGGCTGGGAGTTTTGGAGAAGAAATGAGGTCAAGTCCCAACTCCTCCACCTGCTAATTGTGTGAATCAGAACCAAACAGTTCAACTTTCTAGGTCTTGGTTTTCTCATTTGTAAAATGAAGGGGATGGACTAGATAATCTCTAAAATTCCCTCTAATTCTAACATTCCTCAATTTTATCGGGTTGGAAATGATAGGTGTGGTTGCAGTTTGGAGAGCCCTGGAGCTATTAAAGGGGTGGAGCTAAGAGAAGGGGGTGGGGTCAACAGTGGCCTTACCCTCTCTGGGGTCTGGATTGCCCTACCATTCACCCTGCCATCAGAAGCCCACTGACCTCTCAGAACCATTCTCTCTCCCTCCTAAACTCTCCAGCTGAACCAGGAGTTAAGCTGCTCAGTGAAAGACAAAATTGTGCAAGATATTTGCCTGTTACCTGGCATCTCAGTTGATGTCATTCATTTCATGCTCTCTTCTCTTTCTCCAAGGTCCTCCCCACCAGCCCCTGTAGGGTCATGTTGGGCTTCCCAGCTTCTAGATTTTTGCCTAGATTTTTACCTTTTTCCTAGTGGTTGCACACTTCTCACCAACCTAGCCTAAGACACTAATAGGTTGAGCATGAAATGGGGGTGGGGTGGAGTCAGAATGGGGACTCCTGAGGTTGAGGGGAAAGTCCCTAAAAGGAAGAAAAAGAGCCCGCATTGGGGAAGGGTGAGGTATAGGCAGGTAGAATTGTAAGGGTCAATGATTTCCTTGGGAGTCGAGATAATTGGAGTTCTTCTCCCTAGTTCTTTAACACTTCAAACTCCCCAAGGGGAGTCAAGGGTAGGGACAGAAAGAATAGGGACCCCCTTTTCCTTCCCCACAGTTTCTTCTTGTCTCCCCTCCTCCCCAGCGAGGGGTTGGGCTCTGCTGCCTGATTAACATGCGGGTATTTTTATCCCAAGTGCCCGGAATACCAGGGCCACCCACCTGCCAACTCCCTCATCCCCTGTCCCTTACGAGTTCTGGTAGTAAGCCTGGAGGAGAGAGTTGAGGTGGGGAGGAGGGGCAGGGAGAACTGTCTGAGCAGGGCAAAGGAAATTGGGCAAGCAACGATCTGATTTAGGGCTAGGGGAGTTGGTAGCTGCTGTCACAGACTGGGAAGCTTATCCTAGGGTTTAGATTGAGAAGACAGGGTATTAACTTATTCAGTGAGAGAGCTGAGGTTAAGAGTAAGAGGAGGAAACCCATGGCCATGAGGGGTGGTCCCTGACTCTGGCACTGTATCTCTAGGTTGGAGGAAAAGAAAACATGGGTTGAGAGAGCCTTAGTCAATACTCTTATCCAGAGCTGCCTAGCCCAGAACACCCTGCTTCTCCCTTCTCTTCCCCCTTCCCTGTTCCAGGCCCTGTCTTCTCCATCTCTGTTCATTCCTGTCTAGCCCTCACCCACCCCTGGGGTGTGAGGAGAGGCTGGGAATAAGAGAAAGGAGGAATTCCAGAAAAGGAAAGCCACTGGGTTACACAGCCAAGGCTGTCCCTGACACTGAGAGGTTCAGCATTCTTGAAATCCCCTGTATTCCCCAGAGACAATGTGGCATAGGGGAAAGATCAGTTTGGGCTATGGCTGCTCCATTTACTGTGACTATTGTCAAATCACTTACTTCTCTGCCTCAGTTACATCAGCTGCAAAACGAGGGTGATACCCCACCTCTCACAGGGTTGTAAAATGGATAAGACCGGGGTTAGAAATGCAATTTAATCCATTAGTCCTATTGTGCCTGGCCCTGAAACCTGATTTCTCCTTAGTCCACAGTTTCAAAGGCCCTAAGCATTTAACATTCTTGGCCATGGCAGATGTAGGGGGTGGGAGAGGGGGTGGAAGAGGGGGTGGAGGGAGGGCCTCTAGCATGTAAGAAAACAGAAAGAGACTCTGTAAAGCTGTCAGCAGACACATTATTCCCTCACTCCTGGGGGTGAAGAAGCCCTGGGTAGGGGTGTCTCTCTCTGTCCTAATTCTGCAAGATTCCATTGCCCCACCTCCCTGTCCTCATCCCCACCTCCCAACAGCCAATAGGAAAGTAGCACTCCAGCAGGCTAAGCTCACAGTGATGAATCCCAAGGGGTGGAAGGAGGGGACTTCCTTGAGGGCCTCCCTTTGTAACAGCCTAAGGATACGGTTAAGCCCCTACTGGAAGGAAGGCAGCCCCTCGTTGCCCTGCTCTCAGACGCCCTCAGCCTACTACTGCTCAATGGAAGGAGGCCAAGAAGCTGAGAGTGGGACATGATACCCCTACTTAACAAAGAAGCAGAGAAAGCAAAGGTCTCCCAATCCCTGACTGAGGGGGCTCAGGAGACTTAAGACCTGGGTGTTCACACCTGGGTAATGACTAGACTAGGTGACCTCTCAGGTTCTTTCTACTCTAAGAATCTATGGATCCTGATTCCTCCACCAATTAACTAGCCCTGCAGTCTTTGAGAATTGTGCTCTTTCTAGACAAGCAAGTTTTAGAAAGGACATTTTTGAGCTAAAGTACAATCCAAACAGAGGCAACCATGATGGTGAAGAGACTGGAGGTTTTAGCCCAGAAAATCCCTAACTTAAGGTTGACATAATAGCTGTCTTCAGATAAGTTTCCTAAGTGTTAGACATGAAGATCTGGCTTTGAATCCCTCCTCTGACATCTACTAGCCATGTGCCTTTGGGCAATCATTTAACCTCTCTGAGCCTAATCTGTAAAATAGGGATAATAGTACCTCTAGTGCTTACCTCTCAGGGCTGTTGTGAGGCTATGAGGGATGCCACCATCACAGCATGCCTGGGTTCAACTCTCCCTTCCTATGTTTATGAATTAGGACCATGGACAAGTCTCTTGACCTCTCTGAGCCTCAGTTTTCCCATCTGCAAAAGGGGGATAGTAGCACTTACCTGGTTGGTTTGCTCACAACCAACAAAGGAGAATACTTGGAAAGCTTTACATTAATGCCAGTTTTTATTATTAAAATATTTGAAAGGCTTTGGTGGGGAAGAGGAACTAAGCTTGTTCTACTTAGCTACAGATGAGTAGAAGCTAACTATTAGCAGTCCAAAGAGTGAAATGGGATGACTTAGGAGGTAAGAAGGACAAGGAGCTATTATTTACATGGTACTTTAAGATTTTCAAAGGGCTTTACAAATATCTCACTTGATCCTCCCTACAACCCTTGGAGGTGTGGGCTATGCTTATCCTCATTTTACAATTGAGGAAACTGAAGCAAGCAGAGGTTAAGTGACTTGCCCACAGTCATACAGTTAGGAAATATCTAAGGCCAGATTCGAACTCAGGTCTTCCTGACTCCAGATATAGCACTTTACTCCCACTGCACCACTTACACTAAAAGTCCCCAAAAGAAGGCTAGATAATCTGTTGGGAATCTGTAGATGAGACTTTTGTTCAGGTTTGAAGCAGAATAGATACTCTCTGAGGTCCCTTTCAACTTTGAAATTCTATCATTCTGAATGCCTTATCTCTATGGACCTCAGAGTTCTTTATAAAAGGAAAGCATTAGAAAGCATTAGTGGCACTCTCCAGTCAGAGGACCTGGGTTCATATCCCACCTCAAGCCATTATTACCTTTGTGACCTTGGGCAAATCACTTAACCTCCAGGACCTCAGTTTCCTCATCTATAAAATAAGGAGACTGAACTAAATGTCCTCTGAGATTTGCTATTGTAGGGCTATGATCCTATTACACAATGGTCTTTAAGGACTAGTTCCACCATTTTGATTTCTAAGCCCAAGTGTTCCTTGAACCTTGGGGGTGGGGGGACACAGCCTAGAGACCCTGGGCTCTAACTCGAATACCTTCCCCAGTTAGCAGCCCAAGTCCTGGAAGAGAAAGGAGTTGGCTTCGGGCTTGTGGACTCAGAGAAAGATGCGGCTGTGGCCAAGAAACTGGGTAAGGGGGAAAGAGAGACCCGGGGGCAAGGTGGTAAGGAGGAAATGAGAGACCTATAGAGAGGGGGAGAGGTAAGGGCCATGGAGAGAAAAAAGATGAATCACTGTGTGTGTAGGGGAGGAATGGGGGTGGTGGCATAAAGGTTTGGAGTGGGGCTATAATGTAATTAATTGCCGCTTGGTGGGGGTGGGAATTGTTGAGGGTCAGAGAGACAAGTGAGATCATCAAATGCTCCCCTGGAAGGGTCTGAAGCTGGTGGTGGAGGGGGTGGCTCTGATCATTAATACCGATCAAAGAGAGTGTCTTAACAATCCCAGAAGATCCTAGCTGTAACCTTCTGCGCAGACCCCCAAATGCGTAGGGATAGGGGGCGGCGGCAGCATTCCTTCTACTTTTATAAATGGTAACATACCATAGCAGAATCCGTTGCCATTGAGGTTGTTATTATGTAGTAGCGATCTGAGTCCAGGTCCCTGGAACTTAGAGGAGTGGAAAATGAGAGAAAGGGAAGGGAAGCAGGAGGGTCCCAGCTCCTCCCCCACCCTGCCCCAACCTCCTAGGGGAGATGCAGCCTGAAGACCTTCTAGGCCTCGGCCACCAGGGGGTATTGCAAGCTTTAAACTCTAGGCCACATGGTGGGAGGTGTGGCAGCACAGCTATAATAGTGGCCTGACTGGGCAGGGTGGAAGTGGCTGCATTTGGGAGACAGGCACCTGAGTCTTGAGTAGGGAGGGTAGGGAGAAAGAGAAGAAGGAGTGGGGTGGGGGGTGGGGGGTGTCTCTTGTTCTGGAAGAGGGGGAAAGGGGAGAGATTAACCCTCGCAACTTTCCCATGAAACCACTCTGTCCTAACAAGCCCCCACCCCACAAAACTGGGATTTGGGTTAGGAGAGTTGTGTGCCATGTTTGTGATGACGGGGTGGGGTAGGCGTTGGAGCAAGGGGGTGGCAAGGCAGGACCTGAGATAGAGGGTTTGGCGTCCAGTACGAATCAGGTAATGAGGTTGGAGTCCAAAGACTGGGTCTGAGGGTCTCAAGGTCAAGACTCACTTCTACCTTACTTCCCAGGCCTGACCGAGGAGGACAGTGTGTACGTGTTTAAGGGGGATGAGGTCATCGAATATGACGGCGAATTATCTGCAGATACCCTGGTCGAGTTTCTGCTTGATGTGAGAAAGACCCTGGTCCCTTCCTAGTCTCACCCTTCACTTTCCTCAGTCACCCCCTTCTCCCCGAACCCTCCCACTCCCACTCACTGCGCTTGGAACGCTCTTGTCTCCGCCCTTCGCCTGCCTATCTCCATCCTCTCTGGCCCCAGACCACAGCTCTCCTCTCTTCCACCAGGTCCTGGAGGACCCCGTGGAGCTAATCCAGGGTGAGCGGGAGCTGCAGGCATTTGAGAACCTTGAGGATGAGATCAAACTTATCGGCTACTTCAAGAATGAGGACTCAGAACGTGGGTAGCCTCCTCTTCCCCCCAGTCCCCTACGTTCCTAGAGCTCCCACCCCCTCTCTCATCACTTACACTCTCTCCACTTAAATGAACTGCTCCCAACCCTTCCCAATGCACCCTAGTTCCCTGAGTTTTCCTCTCCCCCCTACCCACTTTCCCCCTCGACTATCAACACAGAAAGCTCTCTAGTTGTTACTCTGACGGCTCAGTTTGAGGTTTTATCCAGGCTATCCGTCCAGTTGTTCAGGAGTGCCCCTCTTGTAAGTGTCAGGTTCCCCTCTCCCTCTACTAAGGCTCCTCAAAGTTCTCTAACCATCCTCCCCCCAAAAAAATAAAAGCCTGTGATAGGTTTACTCTAAAGGATAAAATGGTGGGGGGAACACAGAGGGGGCAGGCTAAGGATAAGTCTCCCTGGATTTGTCACTTCCCCAGGTTTGTCTTAGTTAAGAAAGATTTGGGGATGGGGGGGTGGTGGGATGTGGAGAAGGGTGGCACTCAGTCTTCTATGAAGATATAGAACTGACTGCACCTGCCCCACCCCAGATTACAAGGCCTATGAGGATGCAGCTGAAGAGTTTCATCCCCACATCCCCTTCTTTGCCACCTTTGACAGCAAGGTATGCTTTTCTTCTTCCTCCAACCTCTCTCTGACCTTCATTAAGTAAGCCCTTTGCTACTCTTGGACCCTGATCTTCCCCCAGGGCCAAAGGAGAACCTTCCCCACTCTTCCACTCTGAAACCTTCCCCAATAAACCACTCCCTTCAGATCTGCTGAGGCTCTCGTGGCTCCCCAGAGCCTCACTGCTCTGCGTCCCCACCCTCATCCTCCTCCTTCCCCAAAGGTGGCTAAGAAGCTGACCCTGAAGCTGAATGAGATTGATTTCTATGAGGCCTTCACGGATGAGCCAGTGACCATCCCAGACAAGCCCAACAGTGAGGAGGAGATTGTCAACTTTGTAGAAGAGCACAAGAGGTGGGACTGCTCTGGGGTCTGCTCTTGTCCTTCCCGGAGAGGTGACTTGTGGAGTCTCAGACTGGAAAAAGAGGGAGGGGAGGAGGAGGAGGAGGAGAAGGGGAGGAGAAGGGGGAAGGAAAGGGGAGGAGAAGAGGGGGAAAGAGGAGGGGGCGGGGGAGGAAAGAGAAGAGAGGGGAAGAAGAGGAGGGGGAGAAGGGGGGGAGGGAGGAAGGGGAGAAGGAGGTGGAGGGTCACTGCCCATCATACCCTCATCTGAATGCTGCAGGGTGCCCCAGGGATGGAGACAAACATAAAGACAACCCTCTGGTTACCCATGGCCATTGTCTTCTAAGTCATTGACTCAGTTTGCTTAAGGTCCTGCATTTCAGCAGTGGCCACGGGGTTCCACACAGAATGGACATTCAGTAAATGCTTGTTGACAAGGATGGTGAGGATTTTCATGCTGGTCACATAATGTCTAGATTCCCAAACTTCACTGTTGCCTCCCACCCCCACTTCATGTCCTTCAGCCTATAAGTTGTTGGGGCTTGGAAAGGAATTTAGAGATCATCAATCCTGTCATTCTCCCACACCCTTCAGTCCAGTCACACTGTCCTGTTCTTCACGGGACATTCCATCTCCCATTCGCTGTGCCTTTGCAAAGGCTGTGTCCCCTTCCCCTATGGTTTGAACGTGTTCTCCCTTTATCTTCACCTTCACTGTTACCTCTTAAAAACTCCCGATTCCTACAAGGCTGACCTTACCTGCTACTACCAAGGCACAGTCTTTCCAGAGCCCTGTAGTTTTTAGTATTCGCAAACTGTCATGTATATGAATACACATATACTTACCTATTTATATATTATATGCCACCAGTAGAATATGAGCACCCCGAAGCCAGGAGCTGGGGTTTTTTTTTCTGTCTTGTCTTGCCTTTGTAAAGACAACCTACCTAAACTGAGCCACTTAAGATAAGGGATTGTCTTTTGTCTTTCTTCATATCCTCAGTGCTTAGCACAGTGCCTGGCAAATAGTAGGTGCTTAATCAGTGCTTATTGACTGACTGATTGCTTAGAGTCAGAGCTTAATAAAGGTTTGATTGGATGTTCCGAGGTCTCAGAGCTATCTGTGACCTTGAATAAAGTTGCAGGACCAGTACTCAAACTCAGGCCTGCTGCCTGTAACCTTCCAGCTTCCCTCCCCCACAGATGTACAGCAATCTGGGCCTCTTACCCAGATGGATGGATCATGATCTAAGCCATGAACTGTGTCCTGGGGCTGACCCCAGACACTGGAGATTGGCCCCTGGGATAGGGACAGCTCTTCTCACTGAATCTTCCTACATTGTTCCCAGGTCAACCCTAAGGAAGCTGAAACCTGAAAGTATGTACGAGACTTGGGTGAGTCCCCTGCAGCCAAGGCCAGGCCCCTAAATCAGGCTGTGGATGGGGGGGTGGGAGATGCAACTAGATTCAGACCTTAGAAACATACTGTCCAGCTGTTCTCTATGGCTCCAAGGACAGAGGAAGAGGGATTTATGTTACAAGTCAGAAAAATCTTCTTGCTGCAGTGATTGAGAGACAGAGAGAGACTGGGGACCCAGAGTTTATTCATTTCTACCCCCAGGAAACGCTGGGTCCTGCTGATATTATCTTGGAGCTAAGGGAATGGAGGTGGGGGCTTTGGGAGCCCAGGAAGATCGTTAAGAGACCCACCCCCAAGTCCAGGAGTCCGTATCCTCCAAAAATTGCATAGAATCCCAGGGGAACCCTAAAGCTTCTTCTGGGCATCCCAGCTTCAGGAAAAATAGCTAGAACCCTGGTCTGCCCGTTCCTCACTGGCTTTTCTCACTCTGCAGGAAGATGACCTAGATGGTATCCACATAGTAGCCTTTGCAGAGGAGGATGACCCTGGTAAGGAGAGGAGCTGGGGTGAAAAGGTCGTGAATAGGCAGTGATTGGAGGTGGGAGAAAAAGTAGCACTATAGGCCTCTTTTGGAAATAGCAAGCGAGAAGCCGACAGGGAGGGAATCGTGATGTTGTTTTGGAGGCAATTGGGGTGAAGTGAGGGTCACACAGCCAGTATGTGTCTGAGGCTGTATTTCTGACCTACGGGCTGGTACTCTATCCACTGTACCACCTAGCTGCCCGAGACGGGAAACCTAGAAGGGGGCTGGGATCCCGGAATTGGAAAAAAAATGTTTATTCCTCCCTTCTACCTTATTCATTTCTTACCCCTCCCCAACCTATTTCCCCATTTGTCCCTAGATGGCTATGAGTTCTTAGAGACCCTCAAAGCTGTGGCCCAGGACAACACAGAAAACCCTGATCTCAGCATTATCTGGATCGACCCTGATGACTTCCCCTTGGTAAGAGGGTAACTCACCCTAACCCCTCCCCGGGCGGTCACACCAGCACCTCTGAGTGTGGGGAACCGGGCTGATGTAGCTTAGAAAGGCTAAGCAGGCAGAGCAAGGGTAGCTTCAGCAAATTCCCTCCTACTCTCACCCTTTGCAGAATAAGGCCCCTCCCCTAAGGAAGAGGAATGAGAAGGTCAGAAGAGCAGGGACAAGGGAAACAATTGAAACTACAACAGAGTGGACTTATGTAAGACAGAAGCAAGCACTTCTTTCTGGATAGCTCAGGCTAGGGCTCTCCTCTAGTCCAGGTTGGATTCGAGTCGTGGGGCAGGAGAGAGGGAGGAAGAGGAAAGGGGAAGCGTCTCTTCCCTCCCTGTCCCCTCCCCTTATATTTTTTAGTAATAGGACTATGAGGAAATCAGGTACTTCTATGAACCTCAATTCCCTTGTCTGTAAAATGTAAATAATAGTATTTGTACTAACCTGCCTCACAATGGTGGTGTGCAGACATTGATTTGTAAACCTTAAAGAATTATTGTTGTTCAGTCGTGCCTGACTCTACATGACCCCATGGACTTTGTCCATGGGGTTTTCTTGGCAAAGATGCTGGAGTGGTTTGCCATTTCCTTCTCCAGTGTGTCCCCATTTTACAGATGAGGAACTGAGGCAAATAGGGGTTAAATGACTTGCCCACACAGCTAGTAAGTTTCTGAGGCCAGATTGGAACTCAGATCTTTTTGACTCCAGGCCCAGTGATTTACCCACTATACCCCCTAGCTGCCCCTTAAAAAAAACTATAGAGATGTGATAATAAGCAGATAAGTATAATTAATAATACTATTGCTGTTGTTCATTATTAATGTTATTAATATTACTCCCAGACCCAGGAAACTTCGGGAGCTGTGCCTTCAGAGTACTCAAAGAAAGGTCATGAAAGGATGAGGAGACAGCCAAGGGGGATGTAGAGCAGTATCCCTGGGCTGGTAGTACCTAGGTTAAATCCTCTGAAGAGAAAACTGCCAGCATCCTGGCTGTCAGGCCTGCGTCATGAGAAGAGTCCCGCCCCCTCCCCCCCCACATACACACACACACATACACACACTCTTTCTTTCTCTCTTTTACACAAACACGCACACACATTCTCTCTCTTTTACACACACACACACACACACACACAAGCAAACCTATGCCACCCCCAGGACAGTCAAATGGGTCTCTGCACAAGGGGGCGGTTCCATCCCCGCCAAAACACTTCCTCCTGCAGAAGGAGATGGCAAGGGAGCAGAAGTGACCTGCTTTCCACGGTAGTCTGCACTCCTGAGACTTTAACTAAGCAGTTACCTTTCCTTCCCAGCAGGCTCGCTAACACATGCCTGTAGTAGCATACTATGAGAGAACGGCTCTGGAGTAGCAGGTACCTCAAGGTACCCAGCTGACCCCAAGTCCATCTTTTGTGTATTCGCATCTTTTATTGGTCCCAGGGCCCAGGGCCATCACTGAGCTCTAGAACTGGTCCAGTTGCTCTGTAACTAGGATGCTGATTTCCCCCTCCCCACCTCCATCCTCATTGAGGTACAGGAAATTTTACTTGTATTATGCCTTACCACTCACACTTGGTTTCAGAATTATAAGACTATAGATGTCAGAGTTGGATCATCTAGGACAACCCATTCATTTTCCAGGTGAGATAGCTGAGGCCAAAGTTCGTGGTAGACATGGTACTAGAAACCAGTTCTCCTGGCTGTGTCCACCGATTGCTTCTGTATGTTGTTGCTCAGTCATATTTGGGGTTTTCTTGGCAAAGATACTAGAGTGATTTGCCATTTCCTTCTCTGGCTCATTTGACAGATGAAGAAACTGAGGCAAACAGGATTAAGTGACTTGCCCAGGGTCGCACAACTGGCAACTGAGGCAAGATTTAAACTCAGAAAGATGAATCTTCCTGAATTCAGGCCGAGAATGCTGTAATTCAGTGCACCGCCTAGCTTCTATATGATCTCTTCCCTATTCCTGGCCCTCTGTCAGATTTGTCCCATCTGTCCGGTTTTCTCCCTGCAGCTTGTCCCATACTGGGAGAAGACATTTGACATAGACCTGTCAGCCCCTCAGATAGGAGTTGTCAATGTGACAGATGTAAGTATCCTCCCTTCCCTCCCACTTCTAGTACCCCAACCCCTGTTCCCCAGCTCCTCCCCTCTCCAGGGGTTTAACAACACCCAGGACAGAGGTAGGCATCTTACCCTCCTCAAATTTCTCTTAGCCCTATACCTAATCTTCCATTGCCCTATCATATTCCTCCTGGTATGATAATTATCTGTGTACATCTGGTATTTGCCCTGCTCACGTCATGCAATGGTAGTATCATTTTTTTTTGTTTGTTTCTAGATTCCCATTGCCTGACAATAAATATTTATCGAATTGAATAGAATGGACATGCCCAGACTGGCTGGCAGGTGGATGGGGAGGAGAGAGGGATGGGTGGACCAATGGGTAGATGAACAGGACAGAAAGGTGGAGGGACAGGACAAGTGAGTTGAGACAGAGCTTAGTTTTCCACTGCTCTCTTCTCTCCATCACTCTGTACCATCCTACTGGGACAGGCTGATAGCATTTGGATGGAGATGGATGATGAGGAGGACCTGCCCTCAGCTGATGAGTTGGAGGACTGGCTGGAAGACGTGTTGGCAGGTGAGATCAACACTGAAGATGACGATGATGATGACGATGAGGACGACGATGATGACTAGGTGTCATGGTGACCACTTCTCAGCCCCTTCCTGCTCTGGTCTCCCCTACTGAGCTCCTCCACCTGGGGGTGCCAAGCAGAACCCTAGCCATGGGGCCCTTCTGGGATGGCCTCTTGGTGACTAGGCTTTAATTCCCCTCAGGGATTACACTGAGAAAAGGGGCTGCCTGCCTTCCCATTTTCCTTCTCTTCTGACCTCTATCTCTTCCCCATCTCTCCCCTTCCTGCTTCAATCTTTCAAAGTCTCTCTCTCTATGCTCTTTCCTTGCATTCTTCTCTTTGATTCCCCTTCCTGTGTTCCCCCAACTCTCTCCTCAGATTCTCTCCTTGTTCACCCATCATCCTGTTTTCCTCTGATTATGCCCTGTTCCCTGCCTAGGGAGGGGGAGGTGCTAGGTTTGGGGCCACATCTCAGCCGCTTCCTGTTAATTTATTTGGGTCAAATGAGAAGTCTCAATAAAGGGATCTGGGGCAGTGTCTGTCAATGTCTCATCCAGTAGTGGGGGTACAGCTAGAGGCAGGGGTATGGGGCAGGTATTCTGTCCCAGAGACTGGGAAGAAATATGATTAGAGTGGTAACATTGGCCTTGAGATCCCTAATCATCATTATGCCTTGATTGATTACCTGTCCATTTAAATAATTAGTAAGGACTTAACACTGTATTAAGTACAGAGTTGGGGCAGGAGAGGATTGGGGTCCGGGATGAGGGATGGGATGACAAAAAGGGATATAAGAGACATGGTACCAACCATGAGGGGTTAGAATCTCATTGGGAAAACGATCCTCACATGTCACAAAGGGGAAAACCAACGCAAGCCAATAGGTTGAATCCATGAAATAGGAAGGTGGTTTGAAAGGACCAGTAGTGTTCATCCTGGAGAAGAAAGTATTTGAAAAACTGTCATAAGGAGAAGGATTAGGTTTGTTCTTCCTGGCCCCAGAGGACAGAACTAGGAGCAAGGAATGAAATTTGCAGAGTCAAATTTAGACTTGACATAAAGAAAATATTAACAATAAAAGGCATCCCATAGTGCCTGTGCGGATGGTGGATTTCCCATCACTGGAGATCTTTAAGCAAAAGCTAGATGATCACTTACTAGGGATGTTAGGAGTGGGAGGGGAGAATTACTACCCAGGTATGGGTTAAGCTAGGTAGCCTAGGAATCCTTCCAACTCCAAGATTCTCTATTTATAATTAATTGAATGCCTTTTGTGGTCTGTTAGCTTAGTTGGTTTAATCTAGGTAAGGGCCAATAAGGTATTGTGGTTTATTGGAAAGAGAGCCAACTTAAGTACTGGTAGTCCTGGGTTCAAAGCCCAAGTTCTCTTTCCTGTTTGTCCCTAGGCAAGTTATCTCACTTCTGTGGGCCTCAGTTTCCTCAAAATAAAAAAGATGATCCTTAAAGTCCTTCTAGCTCTAAATATTTTGATCTGTAAGAAGGAAAAGAGCATGAAATAGTCCCAGAAGGTTTCATGGAAGAAATGGTATTGGACCTTGATGGGGGAAGACACTGTACATAGGGGCTAAGAACCACATGAAATTAGGCAGACAGTAGGAATGGACAGATGTCAGTTGAGGACAGAAGAGCAGGATTATTGGAGCAGAGGATTCTAGTAGTAGAATACTTCAAGATCAAGCTGGAAAGGCAGATTGGGTTCCAGATTGTGGATGGCCTAGAATATTAGCCTAAAGAGTTTGGACTTGAGCTTGTAAGCAGAGAAGTCCCCTTCTCCCCACCAGGCCCTCATCACCTCTCACCTATACTATGGTACCACTCCTAATAGGTCTCCCTGCATCCATTCTTTCCCCTCCCCAATCCATCTTCCACATAGCTATCAAATTTACATTACTAAATCATAGGTCTGACTATGTTGCTGCTCTGTTCAAGATGGTGCAGTGGATAGAGGAATATTCCCTGAGTCAGGAATACCTGAATTCAAATATGACCTCAGATACTTATCAGCTGTGTGACCCTGAGCAAATCACTTACCCACTACCTGCCTCAGTTTCCTCAATTGTGAAATGGGGATAATAACAGCACCTACTTCACAGTGTTGTTGTGAGGATTACGTGAGCTAATATTGGTAAAGTGCTTGGCACAAAGTAGGCGTTTCCTTTTTTCTTCCACATGCATGACCACTTTAGTCATCCAACCTCTAGCTCATAGATGCCTTAATAAATATTAATTCCTTTCCCCTCAGTGGCTCCCTATTGCCTTTAGGACAAAATAAAAACTCTGTTTGGCATGTAAAACCCTCTATAATCTAGCGCCGACCTATCTTTCCAGAAGTAAGTTGCACTATTACTCTCCTTCTTGCATTCTATGTTGCAGGCAAACTGGCCTACATGTTGTCTATACAAAGTAAATAATCTCCTTCCTTTGTCCAGGCTGTTCCCTGTGCGCAAGGATGAGCTCTTTTCTCTTCATCTTAAACTCTTTAGCTTTCTTAAAGATTGCCATCGAGGTCTTTCCACCCCCAAAGTGTTAGGGCTGTCTCCCAGCCCCCAAATTATTTTGCATTGACATCTGTATTCATCACCTGGGATTTCTTTGGTGCATAGAGCTCCAAGAAAGGAATCTTTATCAGTACAATTCGGTAACTTCTGTGTAATTTATAGGCTTAGTTGCCTTTGGTAGTGAGAAGTTTACGTGACTTCCCAGAGGTCACATAGCCACTATGAGTCAGAGGTGAGACTTGAACAGAGGCCTTCCTGACTCGGAAGCCAGCTATCTGTCCACTATACCAGAGGTATCAAACACACTGGCCTCAGAGCTGAATGCAGCCCACATCGTTCCTGATTAAATCAGATTAAAATATAACAAGGAAATATTTAACAAAATAAAGGAAAATACAAGATAGATAATATCACATTTTAAAATTAAGTCAAGATGTGGCCCACAGGGATCCTTCTGTAGATATCAGTGGCCCCTGTTGTTCACCTCTGTACTTATACCAAGCCATGGTTCTTCTGCATACATAGGATCACAGATTTGGAGCTGGACAGGTTCTTAGAGATCATCTGGTCCAACTCTAAATAGGGAGCTGGGGTAGCTAGGTGCTCTATCCACTGGAGTCAGAAAGACCTGAGTTCAAATCCAGTTTCAGATATTTATGAGCTGTGTGACTCTGGACAGGTCACTTAACCCCTATTTGCCTCAGTTCCCCATCTGTAAAATAGGGACACTGGAGAAGGAAACGGCAAACCCCTCCAGTATCTTTGCCAAGAAAACCTAGAGTCAGACATGACTGAATAACAACAACAGTACAATTCCAATCATTTCACACATGAGGAAAATAAGGTTCCAAGAGTGGGAAATGACCCGAACTCCAAATCCAGTGCTCTTTCCACTATACCACATCCACTGTCAGGTTTCCTTCTAGTAGAATGTAAGCTTCTCGAGGGGCTGAAACTGGTTTTTTCTGTGTGTAGTACCCATCTAGGATACTGCTAGGCACCTCATAGCTACTTACTAGTTACTTGCTGAATAAATGAATGAATTGACAGGATAAAAGTGATGTTTCAGGGGAGGTCAAGTTGATGTCAGAGAGTCTGGAAGCAAGGAGATCAACCAGGAGGTTGTTGAAATAATCATAGGATGATAGAATGTTAGACCTGGAAAGGACTTTGTTGTTGTTTGATCGTGTCTGACTCTTTGTGACCCCATTTGAGATTTTCTTGGCAGAGAGACTGGAGCGGTTTGCCATTTCCTTCTCCTGCTCATTTTACAGATGAGGACACTGAGGCAAGCAGGGTTAAGTGACTCGCCCGGGGTCACACAGCTAAAAAATGTCTGAGGCCAGATTCGAACTCAGATCTTTCTGACTCCAGGCCCAGTATTCTATCTACTGCACTACCTAGCTGCCGTGGAAGGGATCTTAGAGTCCATTTAGTCTAAGCTTCTAATTGTACAGATGAGCAAACTGAGGCCCAGAGAGAAGAAGTCACTTACCCAACATTACACCACCTGTGCTTAGTAGAACCGACACAGGGACCCACACTTCCCAATTCCCTGGCTGATGTGATTTCCACGACACCACACTGTCTCTCCAAGGCAAGCAGAGGCATGCTTTTAGGCTCCCTATTCTGTGCACAGTTGCCAAATTAATCTCTCCTAAAACACTACTGAAGAGCACGTCAAATTCATTTATTCATTCATTCCAAAGCATCTACTATCCAAAATAGCTATTCTGTGCCTGGCACTGAGCTAGGTGCTGGGATTGCAAGGAGACACATGAAACCATCTCAGCCCTCAGGGAGCTTACATTCTACTAAAGGGAGACAAGGGAGGTCTGGACTAGGTTGGTGCAGAGTGGAAAAGAGATTCTGTTGGATTCTGTAACAAGTAGGGAAGGGAAGTGAAAGTGGGCAGAGTCTGAGTCAGATCAACCAAGGGGGGGGGGTGCGGTAGTGAGAGGGGCAAACATCAGAAGAAAAGAGAGGATGAAGAAATCTAGCAACATTCCTATTTAATGACCCCTCAGCTACCTCCTTCCTGGGTCATGATTGAAGTGTCGACTGCGTGGGAAGGACAAGAATGAAAGGGTTTCTAGCATCCACGGCGCTGGTCGGGTCAAAGACCCCTGAGGAGTCTTCTGCTTTCTACTAATCAGTCTAGAAGGGCTTTCTAGAAAAAGTGAGGTTTCAAGGGTTCATAATTCAACCATCGGTCATGTCACAGAATCCCAGATCTGAAAGGGGCTTCTGAGGTCATGAGTCTCACTCACACTTGAAGAGGACTTTCAGGGGCACCTAGCGGTGGTGCAGTGAATAGAGCACCGGTCCTGGATTCAGGAGGACCTGAGTTCAAATCCGACCTCAGACACATAACACTTACTAGCTGTGTGACCGTGGGCAAGTCACTTAACCCCATTGCTAGCCCCTGATGTTACATTCCTTCTCTGCTACCGACTTGCCTTGGCCAAGTCACTTCCATAGGCTTCCTTTTCTTCCTGTCTGTGTAAAAGAAGGTGGTTGAACTAGCTAATTTCTAAAGTCCTTTCTAGTGCTGAAGTCTTATGATTCAAGGAAAGAAGAAAGGATTATAAGCAGAAGTTGAAGGGACCTTAGAATCTAACCCCCTTATTTTACAGGTGAAAACCAAGTCCCAGAATGATGGAGTGACTGTCAAGGCCATAGAGGTAAGTAGCAGAGGCAGGATTCAAACTCAAGTCCTATAGCTCCAAATCCTTTGCTCTTTCCAATGAGCCAGGCTGTCCAATATGATCCAGTGACTGAAAGATGACCCAGTGAAGGGGGTAGTGACAGAAGAGTTAATAGTCACAAGAAAGTGACAGATGAGGAAGGCAAGTTGGCAAAGGAAGACATGAAGAGCAAAAACCGAAATCTAGACTGTGGAAGGGCATAAGATGGACACATCTTTCTGGGGTCTGGTTTGGGGTCCCAGCTAAGTATGGACAAATCATTTTTGTTATTGTCCCCTGAAGTCACTGAGTTGTTTTCAGTCGTGTTTGACTCCTCGTGATCCCGTTTGGACCTTTCTTGGCCAAGATACTTGAGTGGTTTGCCATTTCCTTCTCCAGCTCATTTTGCAGATGAGGAAACTGAGGCAAACAGGGTTAAATGATTTCCTCAGGGTCACACAGCTAGTTAAGTGTCTGAGGCCAGATTTTAAATCAGAAACTCTTCCTGACTCCAAGCCTAGTGCTCTTTCCACTGCCACCTAGCTGCCTAAATTATCTGTGCATTCATTAAAAAAAAATCAGAAAAAAATAGTGCTGTGTTGTACTTTGTGGGGGTCTTATTGCCCACGCTTAAGGTCAGCTCTGCCTCTTGGTCTGAACTCCTTAAGCAATTCCTACTAGGGCAGAGCTAACAGGCCTCTCACCTGGAGCCAGACTGTTGGGGAGAAGGCTGGGACAGTGGAGAGTCGGATGGCATTCAACTAAGTGCCTCCCTCTCCCTTGAGGTAAACAATATTGTAGGGGGTGAGGTGAAGAAACCCAAACAAGAGGGGTGGTCAAAGTCAGAGGGAGGACAGTCGCTTCCTTATTCCTCTTTCATTTCATTCTGGCTGTTCTGGGGTAGCTAGGAAAGCCCCTGAGGGTTTTGGGGGGAAGTGAGAGTCACTAGCCCAGGACACTAGAAGGGCCTGAACCACCCCCAGGACTATATACTTTCCGCAACAGAATAGTGACTCCTAAACTAACTGTTGTTTTGCATGCTGTTGGCCAATATTTACACACTGCTGGCCCAGACCCCAGACCCTTCTTTTTTTTTTTTCATTCAGTTTTCTTTTCAGCGCTCTCTTCTCAACCCCTCCCCCACCCATTGAGAAGATAAGAAATACAAAACCCCTTACAAATATGAAGTCATGCAAAATAAATTTCCACATTAGCCTTGTGAAGAAAAAAGAGGAAAAAAAAAAAAGAAAGAGAACAAAAAATATGCTTCAATCTGCCACTCTGAGTTCACCAGTTCTCTATCTGGAGGTGGATAGCATTTCTCATCCTGAGTCCTCCGGCACTGCGGTGGGTCATTATGTTGATGAGAGTTACAAAGTGTTTCACAGTTGATTATCTTTACAATATTGCTGTCACTGGGTAAATTATTCTCCTGGTTCTACTCTCTTCATTTTGCATCAGTTTATATAAGTCTTTCCAGATCTTTCTGAAACCATCCCCTCCATCATTTCTTGTAGTCCAGACCCCTCATTTTAGGAAAACGAAAGGATCTCTAGGAGGAATGAAGGGACAGAAACGTGCTCCTGGGATCAGACAAACACTCAATCAAGACAGAGGGAGACAAACTGGAAGATTAAGGAACGGTCCTCACTGGGTCCCTCCCTTCCCCCCAATCCACGAGACAAAGCAATATAAGTCATGTACGAAAGCAGCTACCCCGGCGCCCCAGCCCTATCCCCCTACCCCTTTCCCTCTCGCACTTAGGGGAAACTAAGGCAGCCAGGGAGGGAAGAGATTTTCCCGATTGTCACGGGAGGACTGGGGGGCCTGGGAGTGGGGGAGAGCCCAAGGTTCTAGGATCTCTGTCAAGGGAGAAGAACCCTGAGTCTCCCGCTGTGGCTTCCGAAGACTGGAGGTAGGGGGGCGAGAAGAACGGTTTACATCATCCCCTCCTTCCATTCTCCCCAGCGGGCTAAGAGCACTGAGTGCCGAGTAGAGGAAGGGGGCGGGGCGGCTGAAAAGGGCTTGGATCCCAGCTCTCGGGGAGGGGGCTGGCGTCCCCTCCCCTACGCCGGACGCCCCCCTCCCCCTCCGCTCCTCGCCGTCGGCCAGAGCCCCGGCCCCCGCCCCCGCGGCGGCCGCTCCCGCCCCCCGCCCCTCCCCGGCTCTGACATCACGGGCCGGCCGGGTGGGGCGAGGCGGCGCTGGGCTTGGGGCTCGGGCTCCGGCAGCAGCGGAAGAGGCGGCGGCGGCGGCGGCTCCTGAGGCTGGTCAGGAATCAGGGCAGTCCGGAGTGCCCGGCCCGGCCCGGCCCCTGCGCGCTCAGCTCCGAAGAGGTACCAGGGCTCCGGGTGGAGACGCCAGTCCCCGGGGGCAGGGGCGCGCGAACGTCTGCGGACTGTCCAAGTTGGGGGGGGGCGCAGCGGCCAGGCTGGGGCCGCGCCATGGGGGGGAACGAGGCCGGGGACTCGGGGGCCACGCGGCGGGATGAGGTCCGGCGGGGGCCGCGGCCCCTGGGGCGCATCCTGGATCGGGAGGGAGGGGCGGTTTCGGCGGCACGTTTTCCCCCCGGACTCGGCATCTGGAGTCGGAGCGGGGCCGGGATTAGGATGGAGCTCGCTTCCCGCCCAGCCCTCGGCCCAGGCCAGCTCCGGCTCCCCGCTCCTCCTTCCTCTCCACTCTGGACAGGGCCGCGGCCGCGCCCCTCCCCCCATCTCTCTCCCCCTCCCCTCCAGTTCATCCCATCCCACTCCATCGCATTCCAGGTTCTTTTTCCAAGTGCTGGCTCTCTCTCCTTTGAGGGTCAGGGATAGTAGACCCCAGCCCCTTGTTATTGGGGAGAGATCAAAGTAGATATCTTGCCTGGGAGACTCCTGAGTCCTTTGACTGCTCAGGAGGGTCTGTGATTGGGGGGGTGGGGTCAGATGGGGCTGGGGAGGGGGTTCTGTTTAAGGAAGGAGCAGAGGCATCTGGTCATACCCTCAACTTCCTGCAGTCTGTGCCTGGCTGACCGGGAGACACCCTGTGTAATTGGGGAGGGGGCTATTTGGGAGTCAGTTAACACAGATGTGACACAGTGTAATGGTGACATACTGATGTGATTCTCACACACAAACACAATCACACACAGGAGCCTGGCTGAATGCTCTGCGTTTTCTCTTCCTCACTCCCACCCCCACATGAGTAGAACTACTGGATTGGAGGTTTAGAGGAGGCTGGATTCTAACAGGACAGCTGCCTGGGGTGTGGAAGGGCCACTGGTCCTAGCCCTTGCCTGACTTGCTGAACAGCTTCATCCAACCCTGTGCCTCTGTTCTCCTTGTTTAAAGCTTTAAGCAGGGGATGGGAGAAAAATCTTGGTTCCTACCCACCCGGGGACTGGGTGGGGCAAAATCCTATGGTTAAGTTGATTGGAGATCTCAGTTGGTTATGAAGCAAAGGTGTGGACACCCTGGTAGTCTCCTGTCTGCCCCAGTCTGGAGCCGGGGAACTGGCAGAGTGGTAGAGGTACCCTACAGTGAGCTCAGCGGTCAGAGTAGGAAAAGGGGGGAGGAGAGGAAGAGAATGAGTATGAGTCAGTCAGGGATGGAGAGGGAGTCAGAAAGAATGAGGGGAATATGAGAGGAAGAGACAGAAAACATTGAGAGAGACAGAGAGAGAATGGGATATCAGATGGAAGAGTGATAAAGGTAGGAAGACTCTGACATCACCTTATGCCTCTTTCTCCCTCCAAATGTCTGAAGGAAGGACTCTGTGTCTGTGCAGTTCGTGTGCCTCAAGCCCCCGGGGCTGTCAGAGCCATAATCACTTTAATTGCTAGTTCCCTTTGTGGTTAAACACACTTGCCAGCTGTACCCTCCACTGCCTGCTCCTCTGGTCCCTCCTAGTGCCGGTGCCTGGACCCAGCATGGTGAAGAAGGCCAGTACAGGAAACCTTTTCACCCCAACCTCCTATAGGGGAGAGATTGGACACTTTAGATAGATACACATTTATAAAACACAGCACCCTCAAATGCGTAAAGGACTGTGCTAGTCAACCTCACACATTCACCTATAAACTCATAAAGGCAGGTTTTCAAACAGACTGTCATACATACACACAGGTAACCCTAAGAAACACTATCCCCATTGACTTGGACAAGATCTCACACGCACACACACACACACACACACACACACACTGTTATCATGGATAGGTTAGTTACCCCACCTCTTAACTTGGGCAAGGGGACTAGGTGTACCCCAGGGCTTCTCACTAGACCACAATGGGCACAGAATCATGGAGCAGGCAGAGGAGGGATAAAGAACAGGAAATTCTAGGAGTCCTGAGTACCTGTTGCTCCTACCAGGAAGGATAAAATCATGGGAAAGAGGGACGGAGGTTGCCTCAGTCTCAACCTGCCTGTGTGCCTGGGAGAGAAACCTTAGCTAAGGAGGAAGAAAAATTGAGTGGGGAGGAGGAGAGAATATGGCAGTCAAGAAGAGGAGAAAGAGAGATTAATACAAGGAAAAGGGAGGAAAGAAGAGATGAGAGACAGAGAGGGAGAGAGACATGGAAGGAGGATGGAGATGAAGGGAAAGGGTAGCAGAGAGATCCTGAGAAGCTGAAATGAACCAGAGATGTAGGGGAACAAATGGATGTGAAAGCTCTGGGGTGCTCTGCAGCCTGGTCCCTTTCCAGGACTGAGTTCTTCCATCTCAGGGGAGCAGGCAGAAGCAATGAAAAGATAGATCTCCAGGCCCAGAAGTTAAAATAATGAGAATCAATTTAATTCAACACAGATTTATTAAGTGCCTGCTATGTGCCAGCCCCTATACTAGGCACTGAGGAAAGAAACAATATCTGCCCTCAAGGAGCTTACATTCTACTCATAGTTCAATATTGATATAAAGCACTCTGTGCATTAAGACTTTTTACTTCAGATCATGACAAGGAAATGCCTTTCTTGTTTACCCTACCCCACCAGCCTCTCCTTTACCTCACACTTAAAAATTGTTTTATTAATATCTTTTATTTTGATATCACCTGCATTTCCCAAAACACCACTCTTTCCTTCCCCCTCCCAGAGAACCATCCTAAAAACCATCCCTAAAAACAACAAATCAAAAGGAAAAAATCAGTTGAGTAAAACTAACCAAGTGCCACATCACATGCAGTTTTCCACACAAAGGGGAGGGAGGTACATTCTCATTTCTTTTCTTTGGGGCCAAACTTCAGGTCATAATTTTACAGCTTTGAGTTTCCATTGTTCTGTCGCTCTTTCCATTTTACTTTGTTTCGTTACATTATTGCTTATCTTATTTTCCTGGCTTTGCTTATTACACAGTTCCTATCTTCCTATACTTCTCTGAATTCCTTATATTGCACCATCTCTTATAGTGTAGTTTGTTCCACTTGCTCCTGTCCGTCTCTGGACAGGTCAGAGTACCAGCACCAGAAGATTCAAACTCCTTGGGAGTTTGAATATGCCATTCCCCCAACCATAGTTCCATAGTGCCTTTCCCTGGGCACCAGTGCCTGGTGCTGGGACAGCTAAACCAGATGTGAGGGCAGGGGTTGGGCCTCCTAATCCTCTGACTCCCACTGCATTATCCTGAGCTTACTGAGGAATTTGGCACCAGATACTCAATTTGGGGAGGGGGAGCAGTGGGGAGGGAGAGGCAGTGAGGGAGAAAGAAGGGTAGTGTATGGCAGAGCTTGGGGATGTGGAGTCACCCAGTGTAGGAGCCTTCAAAGATGAAGTCCTGGGGATAGTTAGGGACCACAGCCCTTTTTCCAAGGCACCTGAAATGTGGGTCTGCCCCAGTGCTTGGGGTGAAGAAAAAAGAGTCAGGAATAATTTGGGCAGGAATCTTTTCTCAGTTTTCCCCAGTACTCCCGATGCTCTAAAACAGACACTTGTTTCCCTTTCCAGCATTGAATGTGATTATCATCCCTAGTCCACAAACAGGAAGGGGACAAAAAGCAGATTCATGCACCCCCAGTTTGGGGAAAGTCATAGGATCACAGAATTAAAGCTAGAAGTGACTAACGATCACATAGCCCAATCTTTTCTTTTTTACAGAGGAGGAAACTGAGGCTTGGAGAGGTAATGACTTGCCCAGGGTTGATTTAATGTCAAAATGTGTAGATATCCCTTTAGTGATCACCCCCATCTCAGTGTTTTTATTCTTCCCAAGAGTATTCAGTGCCTTCCTCTCAAAGTGCCCCCCCATTTATCCCTAAGTCCTATCTTTTTCTCCCTCTATCCCCTAGGAAGCCCCTGCCTCAACCTCTGTTCCCAGTTATAGTTCTGTTCCCAGAAACCCAGTAGGTTTCTACCCCTCCCACCCTAGTGGCCAGGCAACTCCCATCCCAATTTATCAGTGACTGATGAGCATTTGCTAAACCAATATTTATCCCCCTCCCTCTCTCAAAATCCCCAGCTTGGGCTGGCCCAGACTAAGGGCAACTTGTGTTTGGGACGTACCCTAGGGGAGCCCTGGAAGCAGGAGAGAGAAGAAGGGGAGAGGAAGGAACTAAGGAAGGATCAAGGAAACAGTAAGGAGTTGGGAGAATGAGCACAGAGGGAAGGGGGACTTCCTGCTTTAGTTCCGGGTTCCTGCCTTGGTATCCTGTCCCCCACCCAGAGCCAGATGGGGCAGTGTGGCGCTGTTTGAGCACTACGCTAGCCAACCCTCTGGAAGAATGACTTCCCAAAGTAGAGACAAGCAGAATTGCCCAAAAACCTCATAAAGTCCTGGCTTGGGGGTGGGAGAGGTAGTATGAACTGAGAGGGAGTGGGTAACAAACAGCCAGGATCATGCAGAATAGAGAACTTCTAAGACCCAGGACCCAGATTAAATCCCGAGTTCCATTCCCTGGGTCTGGATGTGCTAGAGTCCTAGAATTCAGCTTTACACAGAGCAACCCTGTCCAGAAGTTTGGAGCTCCTCCAACAGTGAGGGGTTGGGAGCATGGTAAGAGAAGAGGGATGGAAACCCTGCTCCCACAGGGATCAAGGACATCTGGGAGCCCCAGATTAGGAGGCTGGACTCAGTTACCTCTGAGGTTATTCCTTCTTTCCTCTCCATCCTTTCCAATGCTAGGATTCTGTTTCTATGCTCTCTGCTCCCCAGCTTCCCTCCAGGGAGGGACACACCTTGGCAGTTGCTTCCTGGGTCCTCCAGAAGTCTTACATCCCTCCTGCTGCAGTTCTCCCTTGCCCAGGCTAAAAGGGCACCTCCATGCAGACTATGGAGTCCCTGTTACGATCATTGTGTGTAAAATGTAGTGGGGGAGGGGGACAGTCTGCCCAGCTACAGTTGCCATAGTGAGACTGGAGTTTTTCTCAGCTTCTATAGGTACTCTTCCCTCCTCTCTGTCATCCCTTGATCCTTTCAGGATCTCTTATCCACCCCAGCCTTAATCCCAGTAGCCTTTTCCTCTCCCTGACCTTGGTCCCAAAGCTGATGCCCAATCCTTTTCTCACACATACCGACAGATGTGAGTGTTCAACACACGCACACTCACTCTCTCTCTCTCTCTCTCTCTCTCTCTCTCTCTCTCTCTCTCTGCCTGATCCCTTTGACACTGCAGGTACTCTCCTCCTCTACTGCCTCTGTGGGTGTAGGTCACACATTACACTAATCCCTTGTAGATATATCTCATACTTGCACCCGTGACTGCATAACTTCTCTTCAGACAGACACATGCCCACACATAGAGTATGACTGTCAAGTGAGACAATCAATGACATACTCATGAAGATTAGCTTGGTTACCCAGATAATATGCAGCACACACCCATCTTCCCCTTCTCAGAGGCTCCCCCCTTGGCCCATATGTACCCTTCCTTCATGGGTTCTCTTGCCTGCTGAGCTGGGGACAGAGCAAAGGATACTTTTAGTATGTTGGGTGACCTGTTCCTTCCTACCTTTTCCTTTGATTTTTCCCGTCCGTTTCAGTTCCCACACCCCATAACTGCCCCCCAACTCCCCACGTCTTATCGCCCTGCCCATCATCTTCCATCCCACCCATTCTGTCTGTCCCTGGGGAAGGGGGTTGGGCAGCACAGGAGCTAGCTGGCTGTGACCTAGATTACTGGGTGGAGACAGTTCCTGGTGCTGACAGGCAGAGAGCATTGTTCTCAGCCCAGCCAAGGCCTGTAGCCACTGCTGGGCCCTTCTGACTGCACCTAGGTGTGAGAGTGCGAGTTTGTGTGCCTATGTGGCTCAGGCTCATTGTGGGACGCACTTAATTCCTTTTGTATATGGATGCTACAGTGCCTGCCCTAGAGGGTTCCTTGTTTTTCCTAGTCTGAGCAGGGAACTGGGAATGAGAACTCCAGCATCCTGGCTACTATGTCTGGTGTCTGCCTCAATTTCCCTGTGAACCAGGAAGTGTGTCTATGTTCATGTATGATAAGATGGGATAGAAAGGGAAGGTTTGGTGGGGTAGGAGAGGGTGCTGAGGGCATGTTAAGAAGATGTAGTTTTGTGGACAGCCCCAATTTAGAGAAGGCTGGTAGGGGGATCATCTCTACTAGATATCCTAGATTCCAGTATATCACCGTCCCACCAGTCAATGCTGTTCCTAGGCCAATCTCAAGAGGAATTCACACCTGCAAGAGTGGGGAAGTAGTTCTCTCCCTCATCTTTTAACTTTGTTCCATCCTAGTCGAGGCCCAGTCCCTCTCAAGGTCAGCATTAAAAAGGATGCTTACCTTCTTCTTCCTCCCTTATTTGGAGGTCTCAATAAAATAGGCATGGGGAATCTAGAGGGAGTTTAAACTAGATCTGGTCCTTGCATCTCTCCATTTCCTGAGACTTTGCAATCCCAGGAGAGTGGGACAAGGGCAAGTGAAAGAGTTTCAGTGGATAAAGACTGGAGATAAGGATAACAGTGGGGTCCACACATGAAGATCCAGGCAAGAGATTATAGGATCAGATTTAGAGGTGGAAGGAACCGTAGAGGTCACTGAATTAAATTCCCTCAACTTACAGAAGAAACTAAGGCTAAAGAAGTAACTTACTCATAGTCACACAGGTAGCAAGTAGCAGAGCTAAGATTCAAACCCAGGTCCTCTGATCCCAAGTCCTGTAAATCATGACAGGACCAGGGCTGGACAAAGGCTTGGAGGAAGAGATCAGAGGTGTAAAGGGAGTTGATGCGTAGGAGGGGGAGATAGCAAGACAAACTAGACGGAAGGGAGGCTGACCCAGAAAGGATGGTATAGGCCTAGTCTATCCCCACCTCTATTCTGATACCACCCTAGAAACCATTTCTCTCCCCACCTCACCCCACCCCCAATGCCACCCAGCCGGCCTGGGAACTGGGCAGGGGGCCAGCACCAGCCGCTTGGTATTCCTGGGCGCGGGGGACATACAAAGGACCACAAAGCCTGGGAGAGAAAAGGGTGAGTGGGAGCTATGGGCCAGTCTGAGGAGAGAAAGGACCCTACGGGGGATGAGGGAGGAGATGAAGGGACCACTGCTCCCTGCCTTCCCCCATGGGGCTGAATGCACTACTGAACCCAGAGGGGCCATAACAGGGGGGCAGGCTTTCATCCAAAAGTGACTCAATGTAGAAGGGGATACAGCTGGAGCTCATAGGCCAGATCTCAGTGGGAAAGAGGGGCTTTCTTACCCTGGCAGGGGAAGGGGCCCAAGCTCCTTTGGAAGAGGACAGGAACTGGGATTCTTGGGTTTCTGTGCTGAATATCCCTCTCATAAGCCTTCCTTTTAGCCATCCTCAGTAGTTAGTCGATTGGGGGGGGGGGAGAGTAGACAGTGGGTGAGAAAGTCAGAAGCTAGGTTGTCATGGTAACCGCCTCCTCCGTCAGGGGAGTTGTTACCAGGGTTACTGATGGGGGGAAGAAGGAAAAATGAGGGGTAGGGAAAGGGGTGTGTCTGTCTTTGTGGTCCCTTCCCCCAACTCATCTCCTTGCCTCCTACCTTCCTATAGCTCCTCCTCCAGGGCAGAAACATCTTTCTTCAAACAGCCAAGGCTTGGGCCTGCTTTTCCCCTAAGCATTTCCTTATTTTTCTCCCCTCTCTCTACCCCTGTGTATCTGGAAAACCTGGGTGTTGGAAAGGCCTCAAGGAAGGAGCTAAAGGCCATCTTCCCTTGATTTCCAAAAGGCAACCTAGAGCTGTGGCTTCACCCAGAAGTAGAAAGGCTAAGTACATAGGTGGCTTGAGTGACCAGTGAGGGCAATGGGATCATCATGGCCTAAATTCCTTTTTTCTGGTTCAGTTCCCTAGAACCTTCAACCATGGCAGAGTACGGGACCCTCCTACAGGACCTGACTGACAACATCACCCATGAGGACCTGGAACAGCTTAAGTCTGCCTGCAAAGAAGATATCCCAAGTGAGAAGAGTGAGGAGATCACTACTGGGAGTGCCTGGTTTCACTTCCTCGAGACCCACAACAAGTTGGACAAAGGTATGTATGTGTCTCTGTTTGTGTGTGTGTGCGTGCATATTCGTGCCCTTGATGGAGACCAGGAACTTCTGAATGTCCCTAAGACCTCCACACTTGGATCAATTTCTGACCATCTGCCTGCTGGGTGGGGTGGAGGGGGCAGGAACAAAAGGAAGAAGCTTGAAGGAATCAGAAAGCCTCCTCATGCTTGCCAGACCTGCCTAAGAAGTGTTCGTTTAGGGGTGGGCTTGTCTACTTACCCTTCTACCTAAACCTCCCAGACTTTTGACCAGTCCTACATGAGAAATTTTCTTCAAATATTATACAGTAGTTTTACACTGGAATTTCTGTGGAAAAATACCTGCTGGTGTTGTATTGTGGGGCACGCCATCAGACCGTACGTATGTATGGGGAGCAGGGGTTCCTCCTCCTTACCAGCCTAAAACCCTGACCCAATATCTACCTTCAGTCCACAATGATGCAGACACTTTGGTGACAGGGATGCCCTGTTCCCCCTTACAGCAATATGGTGTAGTACTTTATTAGAATGGCGGCTCCAGCCTTTATTAGCTGTGTGACCATGGACAAGTCACTTAACCACTTGGAGCCTCAGCTTCCTCATCTGTGTGATGGGGAAAATAGTCACACTCAACCTCACAGGGATGTTTATGAGGAAAGGGCTTTGTAATAACCTTTAGTCGCTAATATGAACTGTCATTCTTGTTACGACGTAATTACAACGATTTTTAGAGGTGCAGGCTCCTCTCAGCCTTTAGAAGCACTCTTAAGATTCATCTGTCCTCACAGCTACCTCCAAACTCTTCCACCTTTCCCTGTCTATACGCAGCCTTGGCTCTGACACCCAGAGGGCTCCGGGAGGTATGTGCTCTGCCAGCTCTAAATTGCTGACCCTCATCTTTCTAGATAACCTGTCCTACATAGAGCACATCTTTGAGATTTCAAGGCGACCAGACCTGCTTACCATGGTGGTTGACTACAGGACCCGTGTGCTAAAGATCTCTGAGGAGGACGAGCTGGACACTAAACTGACCCGCATTCCTAGTGCCAAGAAGTACAAAGGTAAGAGACACTGCCTGAGGTAGCCCCACAAGTAGCCAGCCTTCTGCTGTCTTCTTCCTTTGCCTTCCTGCTCACTGCCACAAAGTCATCCTCTGCCCTTTCTCTATCCTTAAGTCCCTCCCACCCCAGGATTCCTTGGGTACTGGAGGCTAGGCCTCCAGATGCTTGGGTTATGGTCCCTGGCTTGGAGGAATAAAAGGCTAAAACAGCCAAACAGGGTCTTGTTTCCCTTCATAAAGAACCCATTCCCCATGCCCTATAGCCACAGCCCTCCCTGGTTTCATCCCCTTCTTTCCCCCAGACATCATCCGGCAGCCCTCAGAGGAAGAAATCATCAAGCTGGCCCCCCCGCCAAAGAAGGCTTGAAGGAGGAGGAGGAGGAAGAGGAGGAAGGTTGGACCTTCAGTGGACCACCCCCATCCTCCTGGGGAGGGGGCAGGGGCAAGCACTGCACCACCACCCCCTACCCTACCTATTCACTAACCTGGTCTTAACCACTCCCAATTGTGTGTGTGCGTGTGTGTGCGCACGCTCTGGCTGTCTGTCTGTCCGTCTAGCTCGCCTAGTCCCCCCTGGGTGGGTGGGGGGGGCAGGGTATGGGGTCTTAGTCCCCCCACTCTAGGGGGAGGTGGGGGCTATTTCTATGCAAATAGAAATCAGCACAGTCCCCCTGCATCTCCCACTTCCACTCCCTTACCTCCTTATGCCGCCCCCCAAAAAGTCTAGGAGCAGAGGGGGGTTGATTTTTCCCAATGAAATGAGGAAAGATGGGGATGAGGAAAACTAAGAATGTTGAGGGGTTGGGAAGGGCCCATTCAGGGCTGAGAAGAGAGAAGACGTAAGGAAAGAGTAAAGTAGTAGTTCTAGGCCAGTGTGGCCCAGGAGTGGACCTGAGCTCCCCACTTGGGAAAGGCTCAGTGAGGTCAATATTCATGCACTGCAGTTGAGCTATAGGGCAGATCCCCTCTATGCCCTCCCTCCATTCTCTAACAGGATGGAAGGGCATGAATAAACAAACCCCTTTTCACTTTTCTCTAACCCACCTGAGATGGGTATAAGAAGCTCTCTAAAGTTGAAACCCCTGTTTGCTTTCCATTCTAGAAAGGCAGAGGAAGTGGGAGGCCAAAGCTGAGGGAGGATGGCAGGGAGCAAGTGTCCCTCCCTTGCTCCTCCATTCATCTTCTGTGACTGTTTCATGAGGCACTGGACCTGCGGGTTCCAATTCCAATCTATCCCTACTTTCAGGGCCCATTCCCCCACCATTGGCTAATGGGGAATTGCCCCTGTTTCTTCAAACTTGGAATGCCCCCAGACAATAGAGAAGGGGAGGGGGAAACTACAGTATTTTCTTTTGCACTAATTTTGCACCCCTAGGCAAGAGACCTGGCTCAGTCTGGGAGGGAGAGCACTAATATCACTCCTCCACTTGGCCCCATTTCCTGGCCCCTTGGGTTTATGGCCATTTCCTAGCCAAACCACTAGGGAGTACTGACCCCAGCCTATGGACCCCAAGATGCCCCTCCCTACCCTGACCGTGCTAACTGTGTGTACATATATATTCTACATATATGTATATTAAACCCGCACTGCCATGTTTGCCCTTTTGTGGTTTCTAGCGTTAACTTATTGTTTAGATCAGACCAGAGAGCTTGGGGAAAGGGAGTAGGGTGGGCGATGGGGTGGCATAGAAGGGCTGCCACACAGCCAAAACAGAAGAGTAGGCAATTCTTAAAAAAAAAAAAAAAAAAAAAAAAAAAAAAAGG